GGATTTAAATCCTGGAAAAGGCAGTAAATCTGAAAGAGAATGGTGGCCCTCAGAGGTCTTAACAGATGACTTCATTCAGTTGCCATCTATTAGAGCTCCTCTTTCAAAAATGGTTACAATAATACCCATGTCTCCGTGGGTACGTTACAAGAATCACCCAACTGTTAGGTTGTAAAGCGCTGGGGAAATTTTGACTATGCTATGACAACTGAGTGCACGCTATCCTGTAAATGTGATAGGAAACTGCACATTAACCTCTTGTTTGTATCTTGATCACTATCTGAGGACATCTGACAGTACAGCTGCCTAAGGGAAACAGGATATGGGAAAGTATGTCCGGACTATCTTTTTTAAATCCCTTCCTAAAGATATTATTGCCCCTCCTCTGGAATACATTAATCATATACTACTTGGTCTCCAGAAAACATAAATACAAACGATGTCCTCTAACTTTCATTAATTTTTAGAGAAATATTTATACTTCCCTTGGATGGTAATTGAGAAATATTTCCCTTGAGGTGCATTTTACTCATAAACTCCCTGAAGGCAGAACCATGTTTATATGTATCTTGTATACTTCCATAGCAACGAGTACAGGGCCTCGCATATAACACGAGACTCCATAAAAATTTCTTGAGCTGTTCTCACTGCTTAGAGCTGGAATGGAAAATAAGTTAAGTCAAGTTCCTGTTTTTAAGGAATGACTAACACTTTAAACTGTCTCAGATAACTCTAGTGCAATGTGCTATAATAAAGGTGTGTGTACAGTATATATGAGAGCATGGAAAAGGGAGAGATTGTCAACAAATATTTAAAGAAAAAGGTGACATTTTAGTCTAAGGACAAATACAAACTCACCTTACACAAAAGAAGCAAACAGGGAGAGGGAGCGACATGAAGAAAACAATGTGTGTCCGGCTCAGGGAATAGTGCAATGTGCAACGCCCAGAGCCGATAGCAAGAAGGGGTGGAAAGTGAGACCTGAAACTAGGGCTGGTTTCTAAGGGTGTTTTACAGCAAAGAATTTGGATTTTATTCTCTAGACAAGCAGTCTCCAAAGTAGGGTGCACTCATTCAGAAGCATATGCAAAATAATTCAGAGGAAAAACAGAATATCTACTTACATTCTCTTTTCTTATCTTTTTTGAGTGTAGTGTGTGTGAAATTTATTAAGAAAAATATACATTGAGTGGATATTCAGAATTTTTACTGATGGAGTACAAAATTAAAAAATATGAAGCCCAAGGCAAAAATGCTTCCATTGAAAGGTTTTTTTAAAGGGGGTAACAGTATCAGATCTATGTTTCAAAGAGATAATATTGAGGTACAGGAAGATGATACTTTAACAGGGAAAAGGAGAAATATTTTTCTAGCTTTATTGAGATATTATTGAATATAACATATGTAAGTTTAATGTGTACAATGTGATGATTTGATACATGTATATGTTGCAAAATGAATACCACACTAAGGTTATTAACACCTCCATCCCATCCTATTTACCACTCTGTGTATTGTGTAGTAATAATGTTTAAGATCTACTCTCTTTACAACTTTCATGTATATAATACAGTATTGTTAATTATAGTCAGCATGCTGTACATTAAATCACCAGAACTTATTCATGTGAAAACTGGGAGTTGGTACCATTTAACTGCCATGTCCTCCGTTTTCCTCATCCTGTACCCCCTGGCAATCACCATTCCACTATTTTTATGAGCTCAGCTTTTTTCAGATCCCACAAAGTGAGAACATACAGTATTTGTCTTTCTCTATTTGACTTATTTCACAAAGCATAATGTCCTCAAGTTCCATCCATGTTGTCCAAAAGGTAAGATTTCCTTCTTTTTTGATGAATGAATAACTTTCTGCATATATACCACAGTTTCTTAATCCATTCATTCACTGATAGGCACTTAGGATGTTTCCAAATCTTGGCTATCATAAACAATGCTGCAATGAACATGGGTGTGCCTATGTCTCTTTGAGATAGTTTTCATTTCCTTTGGATATATACCCAGAAGTGAGACTGCTGGATCATATGGGAGTCCTACTTTTAAAATTTTGAGGAACTTGCATACTATTTTCCACAGTGGCTGCACTAATTCACACTCCCAACAACAGCACACAAGAGTTCTCTTTTTCTCTGCAGTCTCACCAATACTTGTTATCTCTTGTCTTTATTTTTTTTATCTCCTGTCTATTTGATGACAGCCATTCTAACAGGAGTGAGGCTATATGTCATTGTGGTTTGATTCACATTTCCCTTTGGATTAGTAATGTGGAGCATCTTTTCATGTGCCTGTTGGCCATCTGAATGTCTTCTTTGGGGAAATGTCTGCTAAAGTCCTTTGCCCATTTTTTAATCTGAGCACTTGGGAACTTTCTACTGAGTTGTATGAGTTCCTTATATATTTTGGATATTAGCCCCCTTATCAGATAGATGGTTTGCAAATATTTTTTCCCATTCTGTAGGTTGTCTTTATTTTGCTGATAGCTTCTTTTGCTATGCAAAGCCTTTTAGTCTGATGTAGCCCCACTCATTTTTTCTTTAATTTATTGTGCTTTGGGTGTCATATCCAAAAAAATCATTGCCATGACCAATGTCAAGGAGTTTTTCCCTGTTTTCTTCTAGGAGTTTTACAGTTTCAGGTCTTACATTTAAGTCTTTAATCCATTTTTAATTTTTGTGAGCAGTGTCATATAGGGTTCCAATTTCATATTTCTGCCTGTAGTTCTCCAATTTCCCAACACCATTTATTGAAGAAATCATCCTTTCTCCAGCGAGTATTCTTGGCCCCTTGTCAAACATTAGTTGATGGTATAAATGAGGGTGTATGTCTAAGCTCTCAATTCTGTTTATGTCTAAGCTCTCAATTCTGTTCCATTGGTCTGTGTGTCTATTTTTATGCCAGTACCACACTACTTTGATTACTGTAGCCTTGACATGAAGTTTGAAATCAGGGGGCATCATGCCAGGAAAGAAGAAGTACTACAAGGAGAATACACTGGAGTGGAGAGAAGCCTTAGGCTTAAGGGAAAGGGTCCCATCAACGGTGTCTTTTAAAAATATTTCAACACTCCTCCTTAAATAATTCCATAGGTCATTGCTTTAGTTAACTACTCTGTGTGGTACTTAAAGTTTTAGTGTTTCTCCTCTGCATAAATCTATTTTCTGAGAAAATATTTTGATTAATATTCCTGTATAAGTTACAAAGATATTATTCAGGAAAATGATCAGTGCAATTGAACTCACATGACTCAATGAGGAAAAAGGTCTCCAAAAGGTGAAATGTTTCTTCCTACTTAATAATGTGATACAATTTAAAGAAAAAAATTAGTAAATCCTAGAGACTCAGAACCGTAAAATGACAAAGAATTTAGAAATTAACCTGTAAAAATCAACTCTCAGATGATTAACTGTCAAGTTTGCAAAAATTAAATAAAAACATTGAATAAAATATCTTAATAACCATTACATCTCAATAATCATTACAATTTGTCATTATAATTATTTATTTTAGAAGAAGAGCTGAGATAAAGAAAATGATTTTACAGGGCCACATTGTTCATCCCCAAATTCCTTTACCAGTTTTACTATTTCTAAATTTATTGGTTCAGATATTTGTCCCTCCATGCAAATTTTTACTTCCTATATATCCCTTGTCTACTTGAAATACTCAGTCATCTTGCCACAACAACATGATAAGGGAATGTGAAACATGATAAGCACAGTGAGTCACTATTAGGAACAGCTCGTTCTGCAAAGATAAGAAGACTTGGTCCTAGCTGGTAGAAAACCTAGAGCCATAAAAGAGAATTAAAACAATTACACAGCCAACTACCAAGTATAATTCCAGAAAGAATGTGGTATGTGTTTTAAAAGAGGCATCGTGAAAATCAAAAGGAAGTTCTAAAGATGAGTAAACTCATTTTGCAAAACAAACAACAATAAAAATGATAAGTTAATATATATTGAGACGTAATGCCCACCATGTACTGTGATTTTCATGCACTATCTAATCTAATCTTTACAACAACCACGTGGGGTTGTTTCTATTTATTATCTTCACTTTACAGAGGAAAAAAGCTAGAGTTCTGCCCAGAAAACATTCTTTTCCCATCCAAAGACAGGATTTGAAGGATAGAAATAAGGCCCCCACACGTCCCAAACTGCGCTGCCCCATACAGTAGTCCAAGCCCCGTGTGGCGACCCAACACCTGTAATGTGACTGGTCCTGAAGAAGTGTCCTTTCAGTGTAAAATACACACCGGGTCTGGAATACCAAAACGGTACCAGAAGCACATAGCTCATTAAATAGTTTTATATTGATTGGATGCTAAATTGATAACATTTTTGGTATATTGGGTTTAATAATGTATATTATAAAGTTAACTTGACCTTTTTCTGGGTTTTTTTGCTTTTTAAGTTTTTAATGTGTTTACAAGAACGTTGAAAATTACAGATGTGATCTGCATTGTATTTGTACTGGACATCAGTTTAGAGTGTTGGTAAAAGAAGGAATAACCAGCCAAAAAGTAGATAAATAACATCAAGGACAACCTTCTATAGAAGTGAGCAGTCCGGAAGCAAATGCCAGATATAAGGAAGAAAAAGGTGTCATCTCACACTTTTTTTTAAAATCCTGTTAGTAATGTCACAAAACAAACGCAGACGCGCCCCCCGCCCCGGCCTCTCCGGCCCGCGGTTTCGGGCCCCCCGACCACCCCCCCGCGCTCCAGGCGCCACGCGACTCCCCAGGACGCGGCTCCCGAGGACACGCCCCCGGGCGCAACCGACCCCGCCGGGCGGAAGCGCAGGCCGCGTAGCCGCAGCCCGCAGGTTCCGCTCTCCCCGCCCCGCCCCAGCGCCGCCCGCACCTAAGATGGAAGCCGAGGGGAGCCGGGCGGCCGCCTCGGGGCGGGGTCTCGGGGGCTGAGCAGCCTGTGGGCGGGGGCCTATCGGGGGCGGGGCCTATTGGCCCCGCCCCGCCCCGCAGTCCCGGCCTGGGCTGAGCCGCCGCCGCTGCGCCGGGCGGGAGCCGCGCTCCGGAGACTTCATGAAGCCCCCGGTGCGGGACGCGGCCCGGACCGCGGGTGAGGAGGGCGCGGACAGCACTCCGCTCCTGCAGGGCGTCCGGAGGGTGGAAGCAGGTGAGCGGCGGCGCGGCCCGGGGGTGGGTCGGTCCCCGGCCCTCGGCCGGCGCGCCCGGCTGCAGCGGGGCGAGGGCTGTCGCGGAGCGGGAGGAGTCCCGTGCCCCCGGCCCGCCGGCCCGCTTTCCAGGAGCCGCTCCGGGGCCGGGCCTGGCCTGGCGGACGTCGGTAGCGTCCCGCGCGCGTCCCCGGGGAGAGCGAACCGGGGCAGAGCCTGCAGGTCAGCGCGCACGGGGCGGCGGAGGACCGGCGGGCGGAGGCCTGACGCAGCCGCCGGCCCTTCCTCCCCGCTGCCAGCTGCCGGCGCGCGAGGACGGCGGCGCGGGTCCGGCGACCCCCGCGAGCGGCGGCGGCGGGCCCGCAGACCCCAGCGGGGGTCCTGAAACTGTGCGGTAGGGGATTGAAAGTACTGCCCGCGGCGTTTATAGCAGCCTGCAGCTTCGCTTAGGGAACAGGTTGGCTGTCCTAAGACAGGGTGTCTACCAAGCCCCAAAGGAATTTGCCAAAGGTCGTGCAATGGATAGGAAAGGTGTTCTGCAACGCATCCTTCCCTGAATTTGGGAAATTTTGAATATTTTGCTGTTTGGTACTTTTGTAACACAACGTCGTGAAAGGTAATAATCAAAACTAAACAAGTCGGTCTGCATGCATTCTGTAGCTTCAAAGATTTGTGCATGAGAAACAGCTGAATTAGAAATTTGACTTTGCCTCAACAGTAAAGATCCGGTAGGATCTTTTTGTGTTTGCTTTAACATCACCAGATGGTGGCAGTAAAGTGGCAACGTTATAGCTCTGCCCTGCAGCTGGGCGCTTATTGTAGTGGCTGCACGATGGAAATGCTATACCGTAGGGTGTTTTACCTGCGAGTGTGATTTAGTTCCATAAATTAATCTCTTTCTGTGGCATATAGTGTTAGATTTCCATAATCTTCCTCTAAAATAATCTAGTACGGAAATGCAGAAACAAATGCCGTAATAAAGATACACCCTAGAGAATACCGTATTCTGCTGCAATACAATTGTAGCTCAAATGTTAAACATCATTAGTCGTCAGGAAAATGCAGACTAAAACTACAATGAACCATTAAAACACCCACTAAAATGCCTAAAATTAGAAAGAGTGAAGAACCAAATGTTGGCAAAGATATGGAATAATTAGAACTTGCATACTTTGATGGTAAGAGTGTAAAATAGTACATGTTTTGAAAACTGGCAATTAACTTTAAAGTTAAACATACATTACCATAATACCTCACAATGTTTATAACAGCTTTATTCATAACCGTTAAGATTGGAAACAATCTGGATATTCATCAGCAATTGAATAAATAAACTGATTATAGTATATCCATACAATGGAATACTACTAGCTGATAAAAAATTGTATACTCCCATCAGAAGACACCACTCTGCTTTTAAGCCCCCAAAATGTTTGCACACCAGCTCTCCAGACACGGCTGTGAAGGTGCACAGCAGAGAACAAAACCGAACAAAGCTCCTGCCTCACTGAGCTTTTATATCCCACTGCGTGCCTTCCTACGCCTTCAGCCCCCTCCACGTCACTCTCTCCCTGGGTCAGCCTCACTGCCCGGAGCTTGGTTTTCTTGCCGGTGCCCGGGGCTCCCTCGCCCCTGCCTTGTCACCGAGGCTCCTCTCCCCGTGCTGTCCTGTGTGTCCCTGTGCCTAACCCCGCAGTGGGGCGTGCAGTGTTCCCAGGCCACACACTGGACAGGCTGCCCCCGCCTGTGTCAGGTGGGTGTCTGCTCAGTGACCCTGCACATCTCACTGACAGTCACACACCCCACTCATTTCGACAACTCCTTATGTCTTTTTCCAATAAGTAATTTCTCACAAGTGTGCAATAACCTCAATTCCTGATGTCCAGAAAAAGCAATAATACTAACAGCAGTTCACAGTCATTGAAGGCATATGTGCTAAGCACTATTCTAAGCACTGGGCATGTATGAACTCAATCCTTATGGTAACCCTCGTGTAGGCAGACCACAAGCTGACACTGAGTGCATAGTAAGTGCTCAGTAAATACAAGCTGTTGTGTTGTTCTATAAACTTGGCACCTCTGCCCCACTCATTCCGCAGAGTGCCATGGGCTAGCCATGCCAGGCTGTCCGGCCTCTCCTGCTCTCCCTGTGCGCCGTCCTCGTTGCACACTCCTGTCTCTGCTGCGGCATCTGCCTGCGCCACTGTCCCTGCCCTCGCCTGGTGGCTTCCTGCTCACTGGTGAAGACTGGGTACAAGTGTTTCTCCAAGAGGCCTTCCCTCACCCGCCCCACTCTGCGCGTGCGCGCGCGCACACACACACACACACACACACACACACACACACACACACACACACACACACACACACATACACGCAGAATAACATGTTACATACATAGCGTAGCACTTTACCTTACTAGTGTAACATTCTTTGGAGTAAACTGGAAAGGAACTCACTTGGAGTGCCTTCCATTCTGCCCTCCAGGAACTCATTTCAGCCACACGTGACCCAGGGAGGTGGATGGCAGAGAATGCAAAGTGACCTCCAGAGACCAGCCAGTGAAATCCAACCCAGAACCTAAATCCGTTCCCAGGTCTGCCTCACTCTGAGTTAGCCTGTGTTCCTTGAATAACACCTGCTCCACATTGCTGAGTTAAGCCGTGTCTTAGAAGCGGGTGGGTTGGGTGGGTGCCCTGTTCACCATGCAGGCGTGTTTTGCTTTGAGCTTGCTTTCCGTGTGGCAGGTGCTCAGGGATGTGACCTGTCTCCTCTCCGTGATGTCACAGGCACGTTTGGCTGTATCCCCAGGCTTCCTTGAAATACAGTTTTTCTGGCTGATTTGTAATCAACATCCAATTTAATAAAGCTAGTAACCATTTATTTTTAATATTTATTAAAACCTGATCATGTTATATTTTGTGACATCTGGCTTTTTGTTTTCTGATTATTGACTGCACCCCAAAAACTTAAAGTTGCCTGATCCATAACTCGTAGGTTAGATGTTCACTAGTAATTTGAAATCATCTCACTCACCTTTCCTTCGTTCCCCAAGCCTCTAGCCCCACATCTTACTCACCTGGTGAGGTATGTCCTGGTCCAACCCAAGCATCACATTGGGAGAAGCTGAAAACACACAGGAGCGTAAGGGAACTGCAAATAAGGCAGAATGGAGTGATGACATTAGAAGTCAGAGGAGCATAAAATAAAGCTGCTTAAAGTGAGAATCACTGATAACTGTCCCTTCCACTTACTCCTGCAGCTAAATGGGCAAAGTCTGTGCATCCTGCCTTTAAATTTATCTCAGATCTGCCCAGTCCTCGCCGTTGCCTCAGCTTATTCTAGTTTAGCCACCTTGGCCTCTTACGTAGAAAACTAGAGAAGGCCCTGCGGTGATCTCCCTGAGTCCACATTTCCCCACCGTTCACGCTTCTCCCACTTGGTAATCGCACCGCGACCAGAGAAGCTGCCTGACCCTCAAATCACATCTTGTCACTCCTCGGCTGAAGTGCGCGATGGAATCTGTAGACGGACCTTGGCAAAGCAGACAGTTCAGAAATCTGGGTTTTTCTTCTTCCAAATTACTCAAAGTAAGACATTTTAATTGTCAGATTTGGGAAGGTGATGAATCCCCCATCCAGACTGCAGTGTCACTGTGTGGCAGAGCGATGTTAAAGGATGCGTGCACGCCTGGAAAACATGCCTTGCGATAGCCACACCGTCGCTGCCTGGACAGCTCCCGTGTTGCTGGCAAGAGCAACTGTGTCTGGACTCAGGTCACAGACCGCGCGAAGGAGCCTGGGAAATACAGCTCTCACTGCTGGAGTCTAACTGGCAGCAGCACTTTACCTCTGCTAGCTGTCTCTGAACTGGGAGTCAGGAATGCCAAATCAAAGTGCTCCATTCAAAGATGTCATTCTTGCCCAGAAGAGAAATTGCTAGCAGTTGGTAGGTGTGTGAAGACTTACAGAAAGGGGAGTTGGATCACTTAGATGTGTGTTAATACATATCTAAGTGTAGTTGTGCTGCATTCATTAAGGCATCAGCCTGAGTCAGTGCCAAGACCCTTGCACTCTGAAAAATAGACTCTTGTTTGAGGTTAGCTCAGTGAAAACACAGGATTCCCAAGCAGGCAAACACACACACGTTACTATGCCATTGCCAAATGGAAGCACACATATATCTGTACGTGTGTCTAACTTCTCATGACCAAACAAAATGATGTTTAGATTCTTATTAAACAGTCAGCGTTTACCAAGTTTAAAAGTGTCAGACCCTGGGTGACCCCTTGCCGGGAATGGCCAGCAATCCCTGAGACGACAGGTGAAGGATCTGACTTTACAGCAAGAGAAGAGAGGGCGAGGGGGTCGGCGCTCAGAGGCGAAGACCCTTTTCTCTGTTCGCTTTCATATTTATTGTGTGCTTTCAGATCTTTACATCATGATTAAAGATACCACAGGTGCAGATCACAAGAGTGCAGAAAGTTACAGGGTGTGATTAATCTTAAGCCTTTAGAACAAAGAAATCAAAGGTGTCCAACAATAAAGTCCGTACACAGACCCTGGCATTCCAAGGGTCTGCACCCCATCCTGCAGTCCCATGACACCCTCTGAAAGCTTCCATCTATATCTTAGCAAGCCAACACTGCACAGCCCTACCACTAACATTTCCATCCCCCACAACCTACTTTGTCTTTGTCACTAGCTTCCTGACTCCCGCCCTCAGCACTAGAGGACAAGGTAGGATGTGTGCATAAGCCCATGAATAGAGTAAAATAGGCCAGCTCCCCCCACAGGACCCTGTTCTCATCGCCGCATCCGGCCCACTCTCCTTCCTGTGATCAGTGGCACCTTCCCTCACGTCCTTTTTTATCGTGGGCCCTTTAAGCCTGATCATCTGAGCAACTGTCAGAGATCCTTTGCGTTTGCTTCGGGATTCTTAAGCACACTGAGTCTAGGAGGCCCTAAGTGTTAATCATGGTTTGTGGTTCAAACCTGCCTCTGAGGATATTTTCCAAGGTAAGAAGTGTATCCAGAGGGCTTTCGTGTCCTGGCCTTGGCAATAATCCCAGCTAGGCTGCCCCTGCAGGGGGGCAGCCACCAGCCCTGGTCACCAGCACACACGCCAGGCGACGGTGAGCGCCCAGGCCCTCCTCAGCCGTGCTTTATTAGGTAATTCCTCAGAAATAGTGATGCCGAGACCCCCCGTACCTGTTTTTCTCATGTCCTGGCCAGCCGAGTGGGATTTGGGGTTCAGTTTGGCTTCGTGATGGAGATTTTTCCGCACACAGTTGGGGATGCTGTCGCCTACACGTTTTAAAAACCTGTCTTACAGCTCAGGCTCTCGTGTTAAATGCTCCCTGGTAACTGCAGATACCAGGGACAAATTCTCTTCGAGAAATGTTTTTAGATATGCTTAATCTGACAATATTCTTAGAAAAACATTCATGATTTATTAATTTGTACACATCTAAAAAGTAACGTTTTAGTGATTTAGATAGTATCATCTAAGTCACTCTTTCATTGGAAGCGTCCCCGGCTCCTCGTTTCAGCTCCAGCATGCTGCTCCACTCGTTACAACTTAGCAGTTCTGGCCTTTTTTGGCTTCTTCATCCTCTATGCCTTGCGCGTGAACCTGAGCGTCGCACTTGTGGACATGGTGGACTCAAATGTGACCGCGGCCGACAACAGGACATCCCAGCCATGCGTGGGCCACTCCACTCCTCTAACGGCGCTCCGTGATCCGTCGGTAAGGGCTACTTTTTAAGCAAACCGTCTTAACCCTGAGCTATGAGAGGTCTTCCTTCATCCTGCAGAAAACATACACACTTAGTTCATGCAGACTCTGAACCACTTTCTGTTGTGTTTTCCAGGCACAGGTTGGACAGTAACAGGACTACAGCTGCTGTGCCTGTGCTGTGGTGCACCTTAATCTGTTCAAAAAGTGTTCTTTCTGTGTCTTCTATGAACAAACCATTCTTGAAGAAAATTTGGAAAAACCTGTTTGGCCTACCAAAAAATCATTTTGCACGTTGCTGGTTTTTATGTGACTCAATAGCCACTTAAGATTCCTGTTGCAGGGGGCCTTAGAAAATCTCAGGTGCAGAATGAAAGATAACTGGTCAATGTGGACACACTTTTTCCAGAACATACGCCTTCTAACCGAAGCCACTGAGTCACTTTACCTGCCCTGCGACCGTAGAGTTGCAGTGTGTGTTCACCTTTTGTTCAGAGAATTTAGTTTAACACAAACTTTAAATGTTTTATTTTGCCTATTACTCGGGGAGACAGGACAAGTTGGAAAGGCTGGGGTCCCTTCTTGTGAGTGTGCTGTCAGCCGTTCTCAGCACGCACAGAGCCAGACCCGCGCGCCGTGAGGCGCTCCCCACGAGCGCTGGAGCAGGAGGAGGGTTCTGCCCATGCAAGCACGTGCACGAAATAACAATTTACCAGAAATCTCTATTTGACTTCAGTAATATTCCTGAGTACATATTCGGGTACACCTCACCCACTTGCCCCCTGCAACTTATAACTGCCGGGCAGTTCATGAGGTCAGAGAATTCTTGAGATGAGCTGCCAGCTATTATCCTAAACTTGGGTAGTTGGGGGCTGGCCTTGTGTCTTTCCCCTTGGCGTGTGCTTCTGTCGCTCCAGCTGCTTACCTTCATCTGCCTGACATGCAGCAGAAAGCACACCTGGACTGGTTCTTGACACGCCGGCTCGGGTGTAGGCGGTGTGCACCAGGAGTGTCAGATCTCAGATGGGTCGCTAAACCCTTGTGACCCTGCCATGTGCTACTGCTGCTGACAAGACATTTCCTGTCACGTGAAGTATGGGTCCGTTTAGGTGCTTGCTGTCAGCATTGTTCTATCTGCATGTCCGAGCGCCTGGTCTGAAATGGGCAGATATGAATGATCTATATTTAGGCATACTAACAGCCAACATTAAATGGACCCTTAGTGCATGTCAGACCTTATTTTATGTACCTTTTCATTTAATCTTCCCAGATCACAAATCCAGTAAGTCATGGTGCATGGCTTGAACCCAGGCCTGGTTCCAAACCCTGGCTCAGCCCCTCCAGTGCCCGGTTCAGTGGCTTTCTGGATTAAGTCTGTCACAGCTAAGGCTTCCTAAGGTTTATGACTCAGTCATTTTCCACTAACTTCTAGAAACCACATCTGTGTCAGGGGGACTCGCCTGCCTCGTTGGCATGCTCTTCAGTCTGAAGCAGTGGTTCAGAATCACATTTATTTGTACGTGCATGCCAAAAAGAGAAAGGAGCTGTTTCATCAAGGTCTTAAAAGGTTTTTTTTTCTCTTACTCGTCACAGGGTAAAAGGTACCAGTGGGATGCAGAAACTCAAGGCTGGATCCTCGGTGCCTTTTTTTACGGCTACATCATCACACAGATTCCTGGAGGCTATCTGGCCAGCAGAGTGGGGGGGAAGCTGCTGCTGGGGCTCGGGGTCCTGAGCACCGCCGTCTTCACCCTGTTCACCCCCGTGGCCGCGGATGCCGGCGCTGGTGTTCTCATCGCGCTCAGAGCGCTGGAAGGACTAGGAGAGGTAGTGTTTGTTTCTTATTTTTCTTATGTTGTTTTTTTATCTTTCTAAAGATACCGTTCTTTGGTTTGAATATAAAACAAAATTTGTCATTGGGAAGATACAAGGATTTCATTTTTAATTAGAAAAATGATTAACTAGAAAATGATCTGAGTAGATTTCATTGTGGTCAATGAGCAGGAGCACCCTGAAATCAGAAGTTTTACTCAAAGGCTGGAGAAAACATTCTCCAGGGGACACTTCACAGCTCCCCCGGTTCTCTCCTACTTTAGGAGAGAAGAAAATAAACCACCACTAAAATAAACCAGGTCAGGATAGACGATCATTACCTCCTAAACTTTTGCCAGTTTATTTCTGCTCTATCATTGATTGCCCAGGTCTAAAACGCATTTTATGCATAGAATAGCCTTGTTTTACTTTTTTTATTTTTTTATTTTTTATTGTGTTATCATTAATCTACAATTATATGAAGAACATTATGTTTACTAGGCTCCCCCCTTCACCAAGTCCCCCGCACATACCCCTTCACAGTCACTGTCCATCAGCATAGTAAGATGCTGTAGAATCACTACTTGTCTTCTCTGTGTTGCACAGCCCTCCCCGTGCGCCCCCCCACATTATACATGCTAATCGTAATGTCCCCTTTCTTTTTCCCCACCCTTATTGTTTTACTTTTAAAATTGTTCTTTGTAGAACTTCCTCTTTGTCCTTTTTTCTGGCCCTCTAAACACAGAGACAAATAATTTGCATTTGCTATAACTATACTTATTTAGTTCTATGATTCTTCTGACTTTTCTTCCTCTTTTATAATTATTGATTTTTATCTTTTTTTCTCTCCTTACACTGTTTAATTTTTCAAATTTTAATTCCTTATGTCACTTTCCTTCCCACTTCTCTTTTGCATTTTATCATATGTACCTCCATCTTTAAATAATTATGTTTTCATTTCTAACTTTGAACTTCTCCCCATGAAACCACAGCATAGGTTTATTCTGCTCTCCCTTAAGCAAGACAGTGGCTGCAGTTTGGTGCGCAGCAGGAAGGCTGTCTGATCGCCCATCTGTATGTTCTTGTTTTGTCCTTATCAAATGGAGGTATACTAAATAAACCCTTATTGACTACAAATAATAATTGCCCCCTATTACCAGGTTCCTCTTCTTACTTAAGTAAAATATACTTAATTGTAGTGTATTTTATCTGGTCTAGATACTGAATCTCCATCCTGAATGTATCCCCATATTGTGGCTTCCTATCTGTTCATGCCACCAACTTAGCATCATTGGACATTGATTATATTACTGCTGCTATCTCAGGTGATTGCCCTGTTTTTCAGTAGAATTTAATTTGTGTTTGTTCCAAGGGTCCTGTCATTGTTCATCCCTGCAGTATGAATCCCGGATACTTTGCCTCCTCTATAAACCTCGGTCAGCATCTTTCATCTGTAGCATCCCACTCACTGTCAGTGTACATACGCTTTCCCCAGGGTTTTATAATAAAGTCGTCCACAGCACAGTCTCTGTGGGTATTTCTGACCCTCTTGAGCTTTGTTCCAGGACGACTCATCCCGTGGATGCCCCGTGATGCAGATTCTTACCGATTTGCTATGTTGCCCAGATCGTTTTTGCCCTCCATTGGTATTTCCTTTTTGTTGTTGTTTTTGAAAGACTCAGGAGAAAGTACAAAGTATTAAAGATTTATTCTTTTCTCCATTAATAATAGAACTAGCTACCATTTATCTTTGTAACAATCATACAATATAAGGAGTATTATATCCGTTTTACAGATAAAGAAACTGAAGGTTAAGGAGGTTACCTAGTCTTTCTGGCCTACACAGCGGGTGGCCAAAGAAAGATGTGAATTTACTGCTTTGAATCTACCAGAATCTATTCCCTCCTGCTTGCCTGCAGCATCTCTCCTCTCCCAAGTCTGTGAGCCGTCCTGTCCCCACAGTCCAGTGCCTTTGCGTATCAGTAATTGACATTTACTAGGATAGTTATCACAAGAAAAAAAAAGACTATGAACATATTAATTGAATTCATCCTTGTGGGACCATTTTTTCCTGTTGATTAAGGTCAATTAGGGATCTCCCAGTATCCCAAAGTATTAGCTCAGTATTTTTAAAAGTTACGTATTTGTAATATTCCCATTTCATTCAGGCCATCAATAAAGTGAATGAGTAAAACTGACCTTGAGAGGGATCCTTTTAGGTCACCATTCAGTCCATTTTTTAAATTTATTGTAAGCCTTACTTTGCAATCCTCAAACCAGCTAACAGAATCCATTAATCTCTGTTCAGATTTTAAAAGTACTTCATTATAAGGTATTTTTACTCAATATTGTAAAAACATCTCACCTCATGGAACCAGATTCTAGTTGTTTGATTCTTATCCATAAATTTCTCTTGGAACAAAATATTCAACTGAATCTAAAGCATTAACAAAACTACCTTGTATTTCATCAGCAGTGCCCTTTCCCCTCCCTAGGGTGTCACATTTCCCGCCATGCATGCCATGTGGTCTTCCTGGGCACCACCTCTTGAAAGAAGCAAGCTTCTTAGCATTTCATATGCAGGTGAGATAACTGTTCTTATAAAAAGTTTTGCTACAAAAACTGAAGGAACAAAATGGCAGTAGACTCACAGAACCCAAGAAGGGACTAGCGGTTACCAAAGGGAAAGGGACTGGGGTGGATGGGTGGGAAGGGAGGGAGAAGGGGAATAAGGGGCATTACGATCAGCACACATAATAGAGTGGGGGGCATGGGGAAGGCAGTATTGCACAGAGAGGACAAGTAGGGGCTCTATAGCATCTTATGACACTGATGGACAGTGACTGTAATGGGGCATGTCGGGGGGACTTGATAGTAGGTGGGAATATAGTAACCACAGTGTTGCTCATGTGAAACCTGAGCATAAGATTGTATATCAGTGATATCTGAATTAAAAAAAATTTTGCTACAACTTGTTAAGTACATACTAGTGTCAAGGGAAGAGGCCTGCACACCGGAGTCACACAGTGTCAGGTGTCTCCTTGGAGGGAAAGTAAAGTGCTGTGGGTATAATTTTATTATTAATTTTCCTCTGGCTCACCAACATAAGCATTGTGGCTCAGTTGACTCATGTCCTCCATCTGCCATCATTTATTTCAAAACATGTTGCCTTTTCAAATGTTGGTATGCAGAATACTATGTTTTGTTTTGTTTTTAAGCCCAATAGCTGGAAAATTGAACACTTTGTTCTTAAACTGTGGTTTCTAATTTGGTCATCTGATAAACATATCAACCGCTCTGTCTGCCCTTCTCCATGTACATCTTTTTTCTGTGCATTTACTTGCTGTCACTCTGATCTGTAGGTGAGAGAGTATGAGGTTTCCATGTGAATTACAATTTTACCAGGTCACACATGAGTGAAAACTTTGGGACCTGACTGCTTTGTAAGTACAGTGGTTGAGAAAAACTTCTCTGTGGTGACCTTTAAGCTAAAACTAAAGGATCAGAACAAACCAGTCATGCAAGGAGCAGAAAGAAGAGCATTCCAGCCAGTCCGAGTAGCACGTACAAGGGCTCTCAGGCAGGAAATAATGTAATTTCTCAAAGAAATGAAAAACCACTGTGGGTGGCTAGGACATAATGAAAAAGGGGATAATAGCATAAGAGGAGGTTAGAGAAATAGACAAGGGCCAGATTATACCAGACTTTACAGACCACAGGAAGAAATGTAGATTTTTTTCCCAAAATACAATGGGGAGACATTGGTTTTTAACCAGGAAAGAGACATGACCCAGTTTACACTTTACAGAGGTGATAACTGCAGCTATGTAGAGAGTGACATGAGAAATGGTAAGTTCAAGAGCAGGTACCATCCATAGTTCCCCCTTTACATGTTGAACAAAATCTAAGCTCTGACTGGGGTCCACATTCTTTACAATCCTCACCACTTGGTGTCAACCAGCTCAGTCCCTGGCACATAATGCCTGATCCGGAGTTTGACCGACTTTTCCAGCCTTTATCTTTTCTTCCTTCCCTTCTCCCAAGTGAGTTCCCAGACCCTCTCTCTGCTTTCCTACGTCATTCCTCTGCTTGTCCTGTCACATCTGCCTCCGTATCTTCTTTCTTACCTCATTTCACAGGGACCAAATCTCCCCCATCTTTTCAAGCTCCACTGCTGCTGCTTTTACCCTTTCCTGAGCTCTGAAAATCAGAGGTGACCTGTCCCATATTTGAACTTCCATATTGCTCTGTGCCACTTAGTGCTCTCTAACATGTAATAATTATTTTATATTTATTTCCTACTTAAGACTAAAACTTGAAACCAGAAGCAATGTCTGATTATTATAGCTCCCATCATGTTTGGTAGTTAAAAAGAATTTCATTATTTATTTATCTGAAACACTTGTTTGTAATATATTTTGGGCAGATTAGATTAGTAAAAGCTTCATTGTTTCATCAAGTAGGCTGCAGTGGGTTATGTGTATTACTTAGCAACCACCTTTGAACCTTTCCACAAACACCTGGATTTCTAATACATTTACTAGTAATGTGATATTTATTAGTTCATATTATAATAGGTCTTCTATTGACTCATGCCTACTAATTCATCAGTAGCTACATTGTAACTAATGTAACTACATATTAATGTATACACTTTACATACTATGGGTCTTTTCTAATACATGATTCCTTAAGAGAGTAGGTAATTTGTATTTACATGTGACCAATTCAGTTCCTGTAGGATGTGGATCATTCTCCCCCTCCTCTCTGCATTATCTGTTACTCATCTGCTTTATGCAGTAGACATGTCCCCTCTTTATTCATCACTCTCCAAAGGTTACTAAGTCTTTGTTGTTATTCTAGGAGCACAGCTTGGGACGGTAATTTCTCTTCCTCTTTCTGGAGTAATTTGCTTCTATATGAATTGGACTTACATCTTCTATCTTTTTGGTAAGTTTATTATAAAATGTAACTTAAATTACAATGTAACAAGTCCAAAATACAAATCAAAGCCACAGTGAGGTATCACCTCACACCAGTTAGAATAGCCACTATCAAAAAGACAAAAAATAACAAGTGTTGGTGAGAATATGGAGCAAAGGGGACCCCGTACACTGTTGGTGGGAATGTCAGCTGGTGCAGCCGCTGTGGAAAGCAGCAGTATGGAGGTTCCTCCAAAAATTAAAACTAGAAATACCATATGGGCCAGCAACTCCACTTCTAGGAATGTATCAGAAAAAAACTGATTTGAAAATGTATGTGCACCCCTATGTTAATTACAGCACTATTTATAATGGCCAAGATATGGGAACAGCCTAAGTGTTCATCAAGAAATTAATGGATAAAGAAGATGTGGTGTGTGTGTACACACACACACACACACACACACACTGAAATACTACTCAGCCATAGAAAAGCATGAAATATTGCTATTTGCACCAACATGGATGGATCTAGAGGGTATTACGCTAAATGAAATGTCAGACAGAAAAAGACAAATACCATATGATTTTACTTATATGGGAATCTAAGAAAAAACAAAAAAACAAAACAAAACAAACAAATTTACAAATACAGAGAACAAACTGTTGGTCGCCAAAGGGAAAGGGGATAAGATGATGGGCGAAATAGGTGAAGAGGATTAGAACGGTCATAGAACCATTCTCGGGTGTGCAGAGCGCGGCACGGAGAACATACTCAGCACCATAGTGCCTGTGTGGGGACCAGTGGTCACCAGATCAGTCAGGAGCGTTTTGTAATGCATGCAAATGTCAAATCACTGTTATAATATAATATTATATGTCAACTCTACTTCAATGTTTAAAAAACCTGAAATTCAAAAATCCAAAAAAGTTACCTTCAAAATTTACATTGAAATTAGTTACATAGTTTTTTTAAGACATAAAAATTGCTGTTAGTACATTCTAATTATATTTAACTATTATTTTTCTATTTTCAGGCATAATTGGAATCATTTGGTTTATTTTATGGATCTGGTTAGTTAGTGATACACCAGAAACCCACAAGACCATCTCTCCCTGTGAAAAGGAATACATTCTTTCATCCTTAAGAAACCAGGTATGGACTTGGGCACATTTTAAAAATAACTTCAGAACTTTTTTTCTTCAGATTAAGATACCAATTTTTAAATAGATTATTATGCATGATGAAGGCAAAGCAAAGCAGGCAAATGGAGTATTGGTTTGTTTTGTTTGAGAAATTCCAATTCTTTCTAGATTAAATCTATGAAAAATTACTTTTCTAAGTCATTTTCAACTTTCTAGAAAAATGGTTATGAAGTGAGTATTAAGTGTGTCTTCTTAATTAGTGGACAATGTGTTATTTGTGAAAGGAATCTTAAAGGTACATTCTAAATGTTAGTTGATAGAAAACTGACTAGTATGTTTTTATCTGTATTTTAAATGAGTGTGATTTAATAAGAAGGATGCATTTATTATGATAAATTATAACATGATATACACCAGTTTGCTCCTCTAGAGAAGATCCTTAGAAAAAAATGTATATCTTATTAAAGCTAGATTTATATCACCTAGTGGAGCACAATAGCAGGTCAGAAATAAAAGTCCTAATTTTATATACAAATTCTCAAGACATGGAAACAAAATACTTGCCTTTTGGGGGGAAATAAAAGAAGAACATGAAAACATTAGGAAAAATTAAAATATATACAGTCTTTCCTTTAGCATTAGTAATGGCTTCATGTCACTTTATTCATTTAAGGACATAAATATTTCATATAAAATTTTTCTTGACCATTAGGTGGTTATTGTTGATATTTTGAATTTTCACATATAGTATAACCAGGCAATAGTTAAACATTTACCACTCACTAAATCTTGGGACAGATGTCTCTCCAAGCTGCTAAACCTTAAGAAATACGGCATCTCTTGGTCTTTGCCAAAGGCTTGCACAGAATTAGAAGCAGCATTGATGGAATAATGTTACTTTGAGATTTAGTGTCTTCTGCGATTTTAATCAAATGAATCATCCACCTTTTCCCCCTAAGGAACAGATGAAAAGAATTTAATGTGTAAACAGCTCTTGCCACATAAAACTTGTTAAGTTTTGTCACCTCTTCTCAGCTTTGATGGTCAACAGATCGCTTCTTCTAGTACCTCATTCTATCAGTACTTTATTTTTATGGACTTAAGAAACTTTTCCGTTTGTTTAGATTTTCTTAAAGCTTTCTCGACGCTGATATCTGCCTTCATCTGTCCATTATCCAAAACTAAGGTTAATTTGTTTTTCCATATGCTTCAGAAAATGGAAAACTCAGAAGCAAGAGGAGTTAGGGAGGCGGCTTCACGGAGCCCGAGCCTCCCGTGAGCCAGACGGTCCTGTAGGTGGAAATGTCACAGAGGGCAGTGTGTGCCGCGAAGCTCCACCTGTAAATCCTGGGCCCAGGAAATGCGCAGCACCTCCTGTGTATTCATTCTTCGTTGTTTGAGAGCTTGCTGTTTACTGGCTACTGAGGACTTAAAAGTTACTAAGAGAAAGAAAATGAACAAGACACAACTCCTGGGGAGCCTGTGATCTCCAGAGGGAGGCATGGGTGAGCAGCTTTTCCATACAGCATAGGCTGCATAATGCTATGAGGCACATGGTATGTCTTCAGACAGAGAAGGCAGGCTCCTCAGCCAGCCTGGTAGCAGGTAGGAGAAGCCCTCTGGTGTCGCCCTCTGGCCGAGAAAGGTCAGGGACAGACCTGTACTGGGCAAAGTCAGGTTTCTTAGTTTGTTCCATGGAGGGAGAAGGCACGTGGTGGGACCCTAGCGCATCTCAGTGGGAGAGCTGAGAAGGGCTTGTAGCCTAGACTCTGTTAACTGACTGTAGGGATGGTTTAAAGAACCAGTGTTTTGCTCTGCAACTGGCACTGTCAGAACAGCATCAATTTTATGATTCAGTGTCTTACGTTTATCTGCAGCGTGAGGCTGAAGCTGAAATAGTACCGAAGCCGTAGTCACTCATATTAGATGGGAGAGGAAGGCACACTGTGTGATCACAGAGTGTTGACCGGGGGAGGGGGGGCGGTGAGCAACACCTGGTCACCTCACAGAATCACCGTTTCCCTATTAATAGTGAGAACAAAAGTGAGATCTACTCTCTTAGCAACTGGCCAGTACACAATTCAGTATTGTTGACTGTAGTCACCATGCCACCTGTGATTTTAAAGTATCAAGCATGACTGAAGCGTAGCTGCAATGGAGAACCGCTACTACATAAGAATCAACACCCCCTCCTCATCCCCTCGCCCCTCCGTCTTTGATACACACTGGAGAACACAAGAGGCTATCTGCCAAGTCAGATAAAAAGCCCCTACGAAAAGGCCACACGAAGGTTTATACTGGTTCTTCCTTTTCTTTGAAATGACAGTGAACCCTGGAGGCAGAAAGCTTGATTGCTTTAGGTTTTGAGAGAGAAACTGCAGCACCTCGGCATAAGAAATGTAACAGTCTGATACCCTAGACAGTGTCCCCAGGCTCTGTAAATCATGCGTCAGTAAAGAGGTGGGAGGGACTAACAGTCTGAACACAGGGAAATTCACTCACTGCTCCCTGCATGTAGGACGGTACCATGTGCACTATAAAATACATATAAAATTAGACTTTTTAAAGGGTGAATAGGATGGGGAAATAAACAGTATGTACATAAATTTTAATAGGAAAATACATCACTTAAAAATTAGCAATATGTAACAAGGAAGCATTGTGTTTGAATATGCTAAGTATGACAGACTCATTACTTTGCTGGGTGAGGTGCATATGAGGGCAGATGTCAGCTCTTCTTGTTTCTTAGTGTCCACTTGCAGTCACATTAGCATTCTCTTCTACTGACTTTCTCTGTAGGTCTTTGAAGATGCTGTCAATTTTGTAGGTTTATTTTAATTAAAACTAACTAGTAAAACCCACAGGTGCACTTTAAAAGGCAGGTCTCAACTGCAGAGCCCTGATGCACTGAAGGCAGACCAGCAAGTGAGGACAACAGCTGCACTGATGGGGCGATCACACCGCACCCCACTGTCTGACTCATCGCAGGGCCAACCTGTTTTTAAATATTAATGGAGTGTAATACATTCTGTTAGAACGAAAGTGAATATAGATAGTTCTGATACGTCTCTCCACACCACAGTGGATCATCTCGGATATCTTGAGGTGCTTATGTCCTACTTCAGGCCTACTTCAGGGACCGTTACTCCATGGCTGCATAAAAAGTCCTTGTACCACACAGGTCTTACACATCATTGAATGAAGATCGGATGATAAAATATGAATTCCAGTAGGACTCCCAGTCTCTTCACTCTGAATTGGCTTGTGAAATTATTCTTTCTTCTGTGGATGGAGAAATTGCCGCTGCAGTGATTTCTGACATTCATAAGGAATGTTTAGGGCTGATGTTCTAGCTCTAACACTACGTTCCTATTTTTCCTTCTGATTTGAATCATGGGCTCTCTTTGCTGTTTAATATTTTAAAAGAGATGGTTTAACACTCTGAAATGTATTCATCATGTAGAAACGATGATGTGTTCTAGGTGGCATCTGAGTTGAACAGGTGCAGAGCTGAACGTCGCGTCATCACAGCTGTAGGTCATCCTAATCGGGCCGGGTTTTTCCAGCTCTCTTCACAGAAGTCCGTGCCCTGGAGCCCCATGCTGAGATCCCTGCCTCTTTGGGCTATTGTAGTCGCACATTTTTCTCACAACTGGACTTTTTACACTTTACTGACGTTACTGCCTACTTACATGAAGGAGATTCTAAGGTTTAATGTTCAAGAGGTAAGAAAAAGTAATCATGTGCTTTCCAGAGAGCGTACATTTTAGACCGCACACGGTTGTTTCGGTCTGTATGAAAGTCAGTCATTTTGTGTCTTCCATTTCACACTGATAAACTGAGCTCTTCTTGCCTCCCAGTTGTTCCCTCTCTGCTCAGTGCATGGAAACTCTTGATTCAAGGTAACTTTTGGCAGGTATCTCCTTTAACTACAAAGGTCTTACTAGTCACTAAACATGACGGGATATCAGATGGAAAATTCAAGGGGTGCCAATATTTGCCTCTCAAAGGGGTGGTAGTGGGACTCTGCTGACAACTGAGAGGGAAGTTAGGAGACACGAGGCTCCCGTGCAGAGAACGCTCTGCCGCGGGATGTGGGCAGCGGCGGGGCCACAGCTGCACAGCTGTGTAAGAAGGGCCCTCCTGAAACTGGCAGCCACTTCTGAACTCATTAAATTAAGGCATTCCCTATTATCTCTACATTGATGGATTTTGTCTTTAAAGAGATAGAAGAAAAGCCTTAAGAGAAAAAGGCACAGTTTATAAGGAAAGTTGGTGGGATTTTTGCCTTCAAAATGAAGGTAGATCAAAGACCTGCATGTAAGAGCTAAAATGATAAAACTCTTAGAAGGTGGACATCTTTGTTACCTGGAATTAACAGTTTCCTACAGGTAACACAACTGATCACAGGAAAAAAATGCATCGATTGAAATTCATCAATAGTAAAACTTTTGATGTCAAGACACTGTCAAGAATGAAAATCCACTGAGTTGTAGAAAATATTTGCAAGTCATATTTCAAATAAGGAACTAGTATCCAGAATATATAAAGAAGTCATACAACTCAATAGTAAAAAGACAACCCAATTTTTAAAATAGGTAAAGGATTTGAATGGACATTTCTCCAGAGAAGATAAAGAAATAGCCAATAATCCATGTAAAGATGCTCAGTATCATCAGTCATTAGGGAAATGCAAATCAAAGCCATGCTGAGATACCACTTCATGCCTATTAGTCCACAACAACAGAAAATAACAAGTGTTGAGTGAGGATATAGAGAAAAGAGAACCATCATACGTTGCTGGTAGGAATATGACGTGGTGTAGCCACTGTGAGAAATAGTTTGGCAATTCTTCAAAAAATTGAACATAAAGTTATCCTATGACCCACCCACTCCATTGCTAGGTCTATATCCAAGAGAAATGAAAACATGTCCATGCAAAAACATACACAAATGTTCATAACATCATTGCTCATAATAACCAAAAGGCAGAAACGACCCACATGTCTACGAGCTGACAAGTGGGCAAACAGTGTGGGGTAGCCCACAACCAGGTACCACTGAGCCACAGAGAGGGAGGCAGCCCACAGCACAGCAGCAGCAGGATGACACGTGTGGGGATTGCTTTAAACACCATTCAGCTCCTCAGTCAGCTTCCTTTCAAAGCATTCTGAAAACTGGCCGCATAGACCAAACCCCATCTTCATCCAGGCAGCTAAACAGTGGAGAACTCCTCTGGCTACTTTTGAAAAACAAGATCTCTTATACTGAAACCTGTCCATGTATTGCACTGACAGAAGTTAAACTGAAATGAACTGTTGGCAGTAGCATAGGATGGGTTTGTCTTAAGCGACCTTGTTTTTCCGAAGCTCTTTGTTAGTAGAACCTGACGGCCATCTGCTATTACAGTGATGAATAGCATGGGACTGAAAGATCATCCCACTGATGTTTCTATTTGAGGTTTTCTGGGAGAACTGCAGAAAGAATGAAATGTCAATAGCTGGCTGGGTATTAGCATTGTTCACTTACCTGCCTTCATCTATTTTTCATTCATTGTTTTTAAGCTCTATAATGAGAGACTTAAAACTAGAATGTTTTATCTTGCATTTTCATACAAAAAGTCATTTTCATTCTCAATCAAAATTAAAAGAAACAAGAAAGGAGTTTGAAAGCAATTCTTTCATTGTATGGAAGCCTCTTTTTAAAATGGATTTTTTTCTTGAAAGTCGATATATAATAACATTCATGAAATGGCCTTTGTTGAAAATAAAGCTTCCTTTGAGAGGCATTGTATTTAAAAGTAATCTCGTGAGAACCTCTTGATCCTTTGTTACAAGCTTGCTTTTTCATGTAAGTTTAGTTTTATTAGTTACCCTTTATTTTCTTCCTAGTTTTTTCCAACTCTAGTGTCCCTATTTCTTACAGCTCAACCAGAGTTGGGGTAGTATCTGTTACCCTATTTTGGAATCAATTTTTTAAATAAATAAATGCAAGGACTCAGAGCCTTGAACAGAAAGCTTAACTGTGAAAGATACCCATGGATGTATAAATGTCGAAGATTTCTAATAGTTTTAGGTTGTTAGAAGAGTTTTTAACATTGGAACTTTAAGTGCAAAAATTCAGTAACTGATAAAGTATGGTCTTACCCCACCAGACCAAGATCAGAAAATTTACTTCTGTAGTTTCTACAGTTTATCCATGTGTAGCGCCCTGCCACAGATGGTGACAGGTGCGACCTCACTCTGCACAAGTCTAAATGGAGTAGAATTTAAAGAGGAAGTTCCTCAGCTTAATACTAGAAAAAAGAGTCTTAAGCTGCATAAGTAGAACTGTGATACAACATCTGTATATAGAGCACCACAAGCTGTGCTGAAAAAAATTAAATCTTAAGCACACGCAAATCTAGTATTTTAACATATGTTGCTGGCAGGTACCATTAATGATTCTTAAATGGATAAGATACTTACCAGACTTAAATATCGCTGATGAAATAGCCTCCTATTATGTGTGTGTGTGTGTGTGTGTGTGTAAAAAACACTAACAGTTTTGCCCCTCTCTCTCATGCTATGAAAACATTTGTTCTTATCAGAATTAGGCTATTTAGTCTTGTCACCTCGGGTTTATGTCGGGGAAAATGAATAGGAAGAGAAATTCTTTTTTTCCCCCCAAATGTGTGTTCTTCATATTACAGGATTTGTGATTTCCCAAAGAGCTAACCATGAAATCATTCCTGCAAAGCAAATAGCACATTCCCATGTTAAATCCGGTTTCTCTCTCCTGGTGCCCACCTTCTGCAGGTGGTGACTTACAGGAAGAAAGCGAGAAGCAGGGCCGCCTGTCACCTCACTGCCTTCGCTCTGCTCAAAGCGCGTCCCGGTGCCCCCAGCCCCTCGCCTACCTGGCGTTCGCCTTAGAATAATTCATAAGCTGTACATTTGATTGATGTGATTTTCTATATCCACATCTTACTCCATAATAAAAAATATTTTTAGAATAAATTAAGTGAAAATTGGAGGTAAGACTTCAGCGGGGAGAATCCATAGGCTAACAGGAAGGTTTGTCTCCTCTCACTGCCGCTGCAACCCAGGCCCCAGAATAGCGCCCTGCGCATCGCCCTGCGCGGGCGGGCCTAGGGAATAGGGGCGGCACATTGCTGCGTGTTTCCTTCCATTTCAAGTGACACTGGGGTAATCCTGTGTATTCTCACTCCTTCCAGAATGGGGTTTTATCTGCACTGCCTTATTTTGGCTGTTGGCTCTGTATGATCCTGTCTGGTCAAGCTGCTGACAATTTAAGGGCAAAATGGAATTTTTCGACTATATGTGTTCGAAGAGTTTTTAGCCTTATAGGTAAGTGAAATCAGGTTTTGTTTTGGTTTACAATTATTTACTGTGTTTACAGAGCAAGACAAAATAAAAGTAACAGTAACAGCCATTTATTTTGTTCACTATTGAGCATGTAGTACATTTTTTTAATTAAGGTATCACTGATATACACTCTTATGAAGGTTTCACATGAAAAACACTGTGGTTACTACATTCACCATATTATCAAGGTCCCCCCACACCCCATTGCAGTCACTGTCCATCAGTGTAGTAAGATGCCACAGAGTCACTACTTGTCTTCTCTGTGTTACACTGCCTTCCCTGTGGCCCCACACACACCACGTGTATCAATTACAATACCCCTCAGTCCCCTTCTCCCTCCCTCCCCACCTGCCCTCCCCCACCCGTCCCCTTTACAACCACCAGTCCCTTCTTGGGTTCTGAGAGTCCACTGCTGTTTTGTTCCTTCAGTTTTTGCTTTGTTCTTATGCTCCACAAATGAGTGAAATCATTTAATACTTGTCTTTCTCCGCCTGGCTTATTTCACTGAGCATAATACCCTCCAGCTCCATCCATGTTGCTGCAAATGGTAGGATTTGCCCTTTTCTTATGGCTTAGTAGTATTCCATTGTGTATATGTACCACATCTTCTTTATCCATTCATCTACTGATGGACACTTAGGTTGCTTCCATATCTTGGCTCTTGTGAATAATGATCATCCCCGAAATTTTATAAACCTCTTTTTCAGCTCTAAGTTTACAGTGAAAATAATATTTTTAAGCTTCCATCCCTTTTCTAAGTGAAAACGTTTTAAATTTCAATACAAAAATATGTACTAACATTCTATCAAATGAGAGGCTATAAATCAAGCTTAAAGGAGCCTTAAATAATCATGTTTCAGACTCTGATTTCAGAAAGGTAAATTTTAAAACTATCTAGTACAATTATATAATTTTTGAAGAAGCAGGTAAGCAGAAACCCACAGCCGCTGTGAAAGGACCCTATTCAGGAAAATCAGCTGAGCACCCGGTGCTGGAAGGGGCTGTCCGAGTCCCTTGCTTACTCACTTGAACTCAATAAATTTTTCCAAACCTGCAAGTAAAATAAATCCCTTTAGATTCAATTCTATTTTCTCTTTTTTGGCTCCTATTGGCCTGCTCTGTCCAATACGGGAGCCACTAGCCAATTATGGTTATTTAACTTTAATTGAAATTTTACAGTAAGTTCCTGAGTCGCACGATATACAAATACATCATTGGCATCACACAGAGGGAGTCTGAGTAGCACTTCTGTGGACGCAGAGAGGGCAGCCTGTTCTTTAAGCCCCTTCTTCTATTTGTATTTCATGCTTAACTGCCTATACTAAACTACGCATATTGTCATCAATTATTAAAACCTAGATGGAGTGTTTTCCAACTTTACTCAACAGAGTTTATTATTTAGCTTATCTTCTTGGTTATATGAATTTCAAATCACATTCTGTATTAACTATTGCTTCTCTCTAGAATCGCATTTTTCAATCTCTTCTTCTCTGACTTTGTAGAACTTTAGCTGAGTCCTGGTTACATGTCAATTTAATAACACTGCATAATGAGATGATGAGTTGCATTATGCCCGTATGTTTTCCAGCAGTTTGGGGTTTGTTTGTTTGTTTGTTTCCATTAAACTACATAATCTAAGTGTAGAGGCCTCCGGGCGGCACAGTGTCTCCACAGTAGGTGGCAGTAGCCTCAACCCTCAGATTGAGGCCGCACTCCGGTAAAGCGAGCAAATCCTAACACCGAGCTTCTTTTTCTTTTTCTAACTCTTCAAACCCAGGAATGGTGGGGACTGCGGTGTTTCTGGTAGCCGCGGGGTTTATAGGCTGTGACTACTCCCTGGCTGTCGCATTTCTCACTGTATCGACGACCCTGGGGGGCTTCTGCTCCTCCGGATTTAGCATCAGCCACCTGGACATCGCACCCTCGTAAGTACTAACAAATACTGGCTAGGACTGGCTTGCCTTTTTTTTTTTTTAATGTGGTAATACGTATGTAACACTAAATTTACCATTTCAACTGCTTTCAGGTGCGCAGTTCTGCGCGTTAAGTACATTTACACTGCTGTGCATCCAACTGCCACCGTATCCCCAGAGTTTTTTCATCCTTCCCAACAGAAACACTGTCCCCAGTTCCCTGTCCCCTCTCCCGCCCAGCCCCTGGCAACCTCCGTTCTCCTTCTGTCCTGAGAATTGGACTTCTCTAGGAATGGCTTACAGTTCCTAAACAAGATTTCAGTTGCCATAATAATTAAGGTATGATGCTGTTTTTACATTTAAACTTTTAACTGTCATCATCTCTATGCAGTGTTCCCATAAAAGCATCACATATAACGTATTAAGCTTGCGTCTGCCCGGCCAGCTAGAACAGGAGCTCTGCAGCCAGACTGTGTCCCACCATCCTCGGGCCTCACTGTGGTGCTTGGCACATGGTGGGCATGTAAGTGGGCGGGTGAGTGTCCAAGACCAGACCAAGTTACTTGCCAAATCTTATCTTACCTGCGTGCAAATATATTTGTCTAACACCTAATCGCTTACAAATCACTTTCACAAACATTATCCCCTTTTATCCATAAAGCGTTCTTGTGAGATAGGTATTCTTGATCTATTTTATAACTAAGGTGACTCAGTTATAAGTCAGGTGATTCAAAGGAGTTACGTGGTTTGTCTTATAGCACACAGCTCATAGATGATAGACCCAAAACTTTAATCTAAAATTTGTACTTCAGAGCCCAGAATTCTTTCTGCAGCTACTTCTCTGAAAATATTCTTTGGGCCACATACTTCTAGAATTATTTTGTGCCAGTTGACAAGGTAGAGGAGGGGACTGTGTAAATATTTTAACCCAGAAGAGTTAGTCATGGATACGAGTTCATTTCTGAAGAGAAGACAGGTGGTCTCGTACCGTCCTACCCCAGACCCTTCGCACCTAGACGACCGCATCATGTTCTGATTCCAATTGATCCTCAGTCTCCCATCCCTTCAAGAAGTACTTCTCCAGCCAACTGGCTCTCAGGACTGAAGCAGACCTTTGAGGTCATTCTACTCCAGTTTCTACTTTTGTAGAAGTCCAAGAAGGGTCCATGGGATCGGGGTCTCAGTGCACCCAGCTCCTGTCTGCCCAGACCACTCCCCATCCCTGGAGCAGTGTCTTTTCCTCTCTGCCCATCAGAATCCTTCCCAGTGCGCCCAGTCCTTCATGTCGCCTTTCTGGACCTTACTGCCTGCTTTTTCTCTTCCTCTCAATGCAGTCCATATATGATTTCATGCTAAGTGCACTCGTATCAGGTGCCTCACCTTGGCTTGCGATTGTCTCTGCCTGTGACACCGACCCCTCCTGTCTCCCCCATCGGATGTGAGCTCCCTCAGACCGAGACACGTCAGGCATCCGCACCTCGGCTCCTGCACAAGGAGGGGCGCACCCAGGCCCGGCCTCTTGGGAGGTTGGTCTGTACGATCATAGCATGGGGACGGGAGCTTCAGTGCGACATGCAGCCTTACTGGGAAGCCAGGGAGAGAAAACCAGGAGCACTTTATATTAAGTGCAGTGATGATTTGAAAGATCTGATATAACCAGAACTGAAATGATAAAGAACCCTTTGACACTGGAGGAGAAGAGGCGTAAGAAGCCATTTCTGTGGGAGAGATAGGAAGAAGCCCTCCTTAATTGCAGCACAGGACTTGGGGCGTGTACTTGAGATTTACAAAGTGGACACTAAGCCTGATTACTCACAGAAGGATTCAAGGAATAGCAAATAATTAAAGGACAGAAATAAGTTTCTATATGCTCCTGATTAGAAAAGGAGTCTGGCAGGGATTTCACTAGAAGTCAAACAAATGACATCATTCAACTATGTAATTTCTAGAATCATAGAAAGTTAGAATGAGGAAGGATTTACTACTCATGTACAACCACCTTCATGTAACCCCCGCCCCACGCCCACCCTGCGGCAGGTCCACAGGGCCCCCACCGCACACACACACCCTGCGGCAGGTCCACGGGGCCCCCGCCCCACGCCCACCCTGCAGCAGGTCCACGGGGCCCCCACCGCACACACACACACCCTGTGGCAGGTCCACGGGGCCCCCGCCCCACGCCCACCCTGCAGCAGGTCCACAGGGCCCCCACCGCACACACACACACCCTGCGGCAGGTCCACGGGGCCCCCACTGCACACACACACCCTGCGGCAGGTCCACGGGGCCCCCGCCCCACGCCCACCCTGCAGCAGGTCCACGGGGCCCCCGCCCCACACTCACCCTGCGGCAGGTCCACGGGGCCCCCCATGCTCACCCTGCGGCAGGTCCACGGGACCCCCACCCCACACACACCCTGCGGCAGGTCCACGGGGCCCCCGCCCCACACACACCCTGCGGCAGGTCCACGGGGCACCCGCCCCACGCCACCCTGCGGCAGGTCCACGGGGCCCCTGCCCCACGCCCACCCTGCGGCAGGTCCACGGGGCCCCTGCCCCACGCCCACCCTGTGGCAGGTCCACGGGGCCCCCGCCCACCCTGCGGCAGGTCCACGGGACCCCCACCCCACACACACCCTGCGGCAGGTCCACGGGACCCCTGCCCCACGCCCACCCTATGGCATCCTTCACGGAGCCCTTGTCTGCATCTGGCATTGCACATGACACCACAGAAAATGAAACCCAGCTCCTGCTAGCAAGGAAACTAGTTAAATCTAAAAAGAAGATTTAAAAAATAAACCATTGTAAATGATAATTCATCTTCCAACAAATACTTCTCAAATGCCTGCCATGTACTAACCATAACAGACACAGCCCTAGCCTACGAAGCTTTTAGTCTGAGGTGACAGAAGTGGAAAAATACACAAATAAAAAACAGCTTTTTGAAGAAAAAGCGAGAATATGATAGGAACTATACTGTACATCAGGGAGTGAGGGAAGGTCTCTGAGGAAGTGGTGTTTAAGCTAAACCCTGAGGCATGAGTCAGAGTCAGCGGTGCAGAAAGGGAAGAGGACTGCGGACAGGAGGACCCACGGAAGCGGGAAAGGGGTCGGTGCCCTTCTCAGCCTGCTTGACAGACGGGCGGCCTGACAACAGAGATCTATTTTGTCACAGTTTCAGAGGCCAGAAGCCCCGGATCATGAAGGTGCCAGTGCGGCAGGTTTCGGCGAGCTCTCTCCCTGGCTGTGCGCGCAGGCCTTTCCTGGGTGTGCGCGTGGCTGCGGGCGGGCGTGCAGACGGGGGGAGCTGTGGCGCCACTCGCTCCTCCTATAAGGGCATCGGCCCGGCAGGTTAGGGCTCCACCCGTATGATGTCATTTGACCTTTGTCACCTCCTGAAGACCCCTTCTCCAGTACAGCCCCATTGAAGGTTAGGGCTTCAGCATAGGAATTTGGGGGGCACACATTCAGTCCATATCAATGTATCTCAGTCAACTGTGTGAGGGTCAGTTGTGGCTAAAATGCAGAGAAGAAAGCCACTGGGGAGTAAGCAGTAGCCTGTAGTAAGCATTTTATATTGTATCCAAAGCAAGTAAAAATGGACATTCTCTGTATTTTAAGATCAGTCTTCAGTGGACAAGAGTACAAGTAGAAGAAACCAGTTGGAACACTGCTGCAGTGACCAGATAAGAGGTGATGGGATATAATAAGAGAAAGAAAAAGTAGATGGATGGAGGGGCTTCGTGAGCACATTAGCTGGGGTGTGACAGTTGATTGGCCCCCGAGAGTGAGCAAGACGCCGGGACGGTGGTTCCGTCTTCCTCTCGGCCTCCCGGATGGATGGATGTGCCACTTACTGGAAGCGGGATGCCTGAAAGAGGAAGTCCTGGAGGAAGATAAAGTTTCAGACATGTTAAATTTTAGATATTGTGAAAACATCTTGAAAATAGTAATTGTAGGCAGTTTGATAGTTGGACCTAGAAGCCAGAAAAACAGTCTGACTGGAAATGAAAACGAAGGAATAGTAAATCACATTTCAAAGTATTTAAAGGCAAGGAAAGAGAGAGTGCAGAGACATACAATCCCAGAACTGAATCTTGACATTTAGAGACCAGAAAGAGGGGAAATAACCAGAAAAGGAACCTGAAAAGGAGCAGAGAGATTCAAGGATGAAAATCAAGAATGTGTCCAGGGGCCAGAACTCTCCAGTCTTCACCTCAAGGAGGAGCTGTGGACGAGAGAGATTTTAGGAGGCCCGACCTTAGGCGTAGTAGGTGAAGCCATGGAAGTGGACAAAATTACAGTTTACCCTTGAAAAGTGTGAAGGTTAGGGGTACAGTCAAAAATTCACATACAACTAAGTTTGACTCCCCAGAAACTTATTAATAGCCTACTGTTGACCGGAAGCCTTACCAGTAACATAAACTATCAATACATATTTTGTATGTTAGTGTACTATATACTGTATTCTTACAATAAAGTAAGCTAGAAAAAAAAAGTATTTTTTTCTAGTAGTCGCAAATCTCCAAAAAAGTCTCCAGCATATAAAAAAATCTGCGTATGAGTAGTCTGGCACAGTTCCAACCTGCGTTGTTGAAGAGTCGGCGGTACTTGGCACGCTGCGTGAGCTCCTTGGGAGTCCATTACGAGAAAGAAGAGCCTGATGCAAGGATACACGGAAGCAGCAGCTGGAGAAGGAGCATGAGCAGAGACCGGGGTCCCCAAAGGAGAGGTTGTGTCAGCAGTGTAGTTGCACAGGGAAGTCAAGTAAAATAAGAATGGAAGTGTTCTTGGATTGGACGCCCGGATGAAGCTCACTCATGTCTTGATGGAATGCGCCCAGGGAGCAATGAGAAGGAAGCCAGGCTGCAGTAACTCGAGGAATGACTGGAAAGATGAGGACATGAGCCGCGCACAAAGCAGCGGCTTCCCAGTGTGGTCCTCAGCCCATGCACGCCAGGCAGAGGAAGGTGGTAAGCCTTTCAGATGAGCATCCATTTTATTTTCCAACTGGAATTTCTTGGTTCAAAGCATCCTAGCATTCCTGGTCCCTGTACTGGCAAACTGGGGGGTTGCATAGTCTGTGACCACGTTGTTACCTAGTTGCCTTTTGTCTTTGGGAACTGAGTGCCTGGCACCGGGTAACACTCTGCTGTTTAGAGCAGGAACACCCGAGGGCCACAGACCTGGAAGCCTTCAGCACTGGGGCTTGTAAACAATTAAGCATGAAAAATTGGTCTTTCCTACAGATTGAAGTCAGTGATGACATTTTAACAAGACAGCATTATAGATTATAACATATTAAGTACCGATTTAGAATCAGATAAACTGGGTAACATTTTAGTCTTTCTTTCTTCATCTGTAGAAGGAAGACAATATCCCTACCCAATGGAAATGATTTTACTATTTAAATAGGACATATATAAAATACTTAGAACCATGCCTGACAAAGTTTTCAATAAACAGTCAGTATTCCTATCAACATATAAATGTTTATGGTATTTTTTAAGGCTTTTCTTCTGTAGACCAATAGAGAGATTGTCTATGGATAATTTTGTTGCCCAGATTCAAGGGAACTGGGTATATTTTTAGCTTTTGATCTCCCAGGGTTCTAGGAGTCCACTGGCCAGAATCCTCGCTGAGCGCGCCCAGCGTGTGCTTTTCCAAGCAGTCATCAATCCTCCCTGGCCCTTCCCAGCCAAGTGTAATACAAATACCTGAATGAGCTGCTCGGTGCCGACACGTGGAACTTCTCAGCATTCATCCACCTCACTCTGTGCTGAAAAGGCCTGGCAGCATTGCAGTTCATTCCTCCAGCCGCCAAGGTGTTAATGGTTTGGAAAAAAAAAAAAGACAGGTTCTGCCAAGCTTGGTGAATTTAAGCTACACTCCCAAAGGGCATAAGCCAGAAAGGTCTGGCCACGTGCTTCGGCACTCGTATCCTGTATGCAGGCGTTTGGAACGTGAAAATGTGTGATGTTCATAGATAGGTGAGTTAGGTCAGTAGGACTTTCTCGGGCACTGTGTCGGTCACCGTACCGAATACCACAGAGGGGGTAACTGGGAAGCAGAGGCTTCTGTCCTCACAGTTCTGGAGCCAGGGAGCCGGAGAGGAGGCTGCCGGCAGGGCGGGGCTGCGGGGAGCGCGCACCCCGTGTGCAGGCGGACCTGCTCCCAGTGTCGTCCTGCCGGCCCCTCCCCACGCTCACGGAGGCAAGGCAAGCATCTCTCTCCCTCCCTCTTATTATAAGACCATTTATTCTAGAATATTAGGACCCCATGTGTGTGACCTCATTTATCTCCAAAAACAGTCACACTGGAGTTCAGGCTTGACGCATAGGAATTTGAGGGGAACACAGTTCTGTCCACAACAGACCTTTTTCCATATGCACAATAGAAGAATTTCAGATCAATAGTCTGCGGTTGAGGTACTGAGAGATCTAAACCCTAACAGATACAGTATCACCCCACAATGACTGATAAACGGCCAGCTTCTTTAATTTTGACCGAATCTTATTTTATAATAACAGTGATCATCTCATGAAAAATTAAAAGCTTTAATTGGGCTTTGTATATGTCTAAGTGATTTTTATGAAAAATAAATTAATAAATGCCACTCACATGGTGGATTAATTTTTAGCTCCACCACTACCTTTAAGGTTCTTGCTAAAAATATCAAACTTAGACGTGATGAATCGTCTAGGACCTCGATGCTGCCAGTATATCCAGGAACCGCCGAGGATGCGAGGTCGCGTTAAATAACACCTTAGGGGAGCCGTCTATAAAATGGAGAACGTAGGACTACCCACAGGACAAAATCCCAGTTTGTTCAATTAAAAAGAGCGAGAGAGAAAGCAATAAAAAAGGAACTAACTTGGTATACCCAGCAGTCTGGGGTGATGTTTAGCAACCCTACTGTGTTATCTAAAAGGTCACATTCTGTGTGATTCCCTTTATATGAAGTTCCTGATGCGGACTTGGCGCCCTTCGGAGCCAGTGCCCAGGGCAGGTGCTGGTCTCCGTGGGACAGAGCCCCCTCCGGCAGTCGGTGTGGGCAGAGCCCCAGGCGCCTTGGGTCCTCAAACAACTGGCTCCTGTGCCACAGAGAATTAGCAAAATTTAATTAAAGAGCGATTACCTCTTAAAGCAGGTAGTACTGGCTTAAAGGATAATAAAGCTTGAGAAGACAATGCTCAGTATGAACTGAGCTAGACAGAAAAAGTTTCGTGGCAAAGGTGCTCAAATAAGCCAGGTCTGCACGGGAAGGGTGTGGGGTCCAGACAGTCCGGTGTGGCAAAGATAACTACGCGGCATGGGCGCGGCAGACGTGAAGGCCTGCAGAGAGCTGTTGGGTTTGAGGCTGTGTAACGTGCGGACTGGCACGCGGACCGGGGCTGTGGCCGCCGCAGACAGGCAGCTGACAGCCTTCTTAGGGTAAGCGTTAGCCATCCTCTGAGTTTTAGGAAAGGCGACCTTACAAAATTACGATTATTCAAGTTAAAATTTACACAGTCTGAGAGGCAGTTCAACTACATGCAAATGTCCTTAAAAATGCCCACCAGCAGACTCTGCTTCTTAACTGAATGCTAGGGACATGGTCGTGTTCACATTGTGAAAATCCACCCACCTGTACATGTGTGGTTTGTGCTTATTTCCATACGTGTGTTACATTCCATAACTATGGTTTTTGTATACCTGGGGGGGGAGGGGGCGCTCAGCTGGGCCCCCAGGTATGTCACGTGTATACATCTGTGAACCCGTGGCTGATGAGGGAAGTAATAACTGTCACGGGCTTGCCCGGGTCACACAGGGGCTAATGCTGGCGCCGGCTCGGAAGTCCTCAGGCCCCTGATGACCAGTGCAGCATCGCTGCTTCATGGAAAACGAGAAGCATTTCATTATTTGAGGATGGTACCCGTGGCGTTGGCCACGGCAGCCCTCGGTCTGTATTCACTCATTCTTGTACAGGAGAAGTCAACAGACCGTTAGCATTTCCCAAAAATAGGCAGGAATTCTGTCTTTAAAAGTTTGCATCTAGATATAGATAAGAACATCCCACTCCCTAAGATTTACTCTTAAAATAAGTCTGAACTTTTTCTGAGCTATTAAAAAATGCATTTTTTTTGTCATACATAACATGTGTACACACTGTAAACCCGACTTTGCATCTGGGTCAGTGTGCAAAGACTTAGCTGCAAGCAGATACGTGATAAGTAGAACAAGTACGTTGTGATGTTGTATGTTCAGTATCTCACTTCTATAATAATATACCAGAAATATGTAATGCATGGAAGCAAAAATAATTAGGATATATACCAAACTGTTAAAATGTCTCTATATGGAAGAATTATAGGTAATTTTGTTTTCTTCTTAATGTTTTTCTTTTTTCTCATTTTCAACAAAATAAATTTTGTAATCAGGAAATAAGTTGTTTTAACTTTTAAAAAATGTAAAGCCCATCATGCTTCCTGTCTAGATACCATCACACATGAAAACCATATCTCAGCACTTCTCTAAATCACTGACCGTCGGTCTCAATGGCCGTGTTCCCCTCGGTAATGTTAGAATGCTATTTAATAAGTGAAATGCATGTTTTTCACCAGCTAACTATTCAGTCCTAATTCAGGAAGACATTCTACTTAGATATAAAATGTCACAGGAATACAGAGTATACTGGGAGCGATACAGCCTATGCACTGAAAACAGTCTACTGAAATGTGTAACGCGATCATTAACCTCCATGACACTTCCCTGCAGGTATGCCGGCATCCTCCTCGGAATCACAAACACGTTTGCCACCATTCCAGGCATGGTCGGGCCGGTCATTGCCAAGAGTCTGACCCCTGACGTAAGTAGACAACTTGTTTGTAAACTGAAAAGGTATAGAACGGTTCCCTTGACCTGCACATTGGGGTCAGTCTGTTTTAATTAAGGGTGAAATTCAGAATGTTTATTCTTAGGCAATCCCTTATAGCAACAAAAAGCTGTACGGGATTTTAATGGGTAGGAAAGCGTGTTCTCACAGCAACTCCCCGGGGTTCAGACAGAACTACAGAACTAAGTCAATGAAGGTCTCGTAGCTGAAACCTTGCAAGCACTTAAAAGTGATGTCACATCAGGTGAATAATTTGTTTGGTTCGAACAAATAAAAATTGGCAACATAAAATTATTCAAGAAGTGGGTCCACGAAGGTGGTGTCACAGGAAATCATGTGAGAATGAATAAGGCCTGTGTAGGGGAGCAGGGACCCGGGAAGACAGGACAGGTGGCTTCACATGGCTGAAGGACCGCCGTGTGAAAGACGGTGGCTTATTCTGGGCAGTTCCACAAGACGGCTGGAGAGCAGTTTGGGGCTACAAGGGCAGTTTTCTGCTCGAAGCTGTGCCTGTGCGGAATGGGCAGCCTTAGGAGTCGGTGAGCCCTGAGACCCCCAAACACGTGTTCAGCAGCATTTCTTGATGCTTATTAATATGCCAGATGAGGGTTCAGAGGCCAAATGATGAGCGTCTTCCCTTGAGAAACTCGTCATGGAGAGGCGATACGTGATCAGACAGTTAAGGACAGCGTGTGACTGCTGCAGACGGTGGGCACGGGGAGCCCCGGAGGAGTGGCCCGGGGTGGCCGGAAGCTGGAGGCGGCAGGGGGCCCGTGGGTACAGCCTTCTGATAGGTGCCTCCATTGTGTAAGAAGTCAAAATACATGGCCTCAAAGACCCTTTCCAACTCCAGTTTTCTACTATTTAAAATAATCTAAAGGACTAGTAAAATGTGTTCTTCAAGAAGCTGACTTAAACCTCTAAGAGACTTGATTTTCTCTTTGTCTCTGTGATCAGATGAACACTGCCTGACCCTTAGAATTTCAGAATGTGCTCACACTTCAGCAGATACTCTGATTTCAGACCTGTGGGTGTTCACCACAGATTGTGTTCCGATTTCTTCTCCACTCCCACCATTTCTCATCTCTTACTTAAATGAATCGGTGCCTCCTCACTGCTACTTTCTCACTTACTAGAAAAGGATGTTGAGGAAGTTTTTTTTTTTTCCTAAAATTCTGTGTCTCAATATGGTTGCATCAAAAATGGTTGACCGTATCTTCATGGGACGTGGAGGTCACACGAGAACCTAAGCCAACACACACCACATATTAATTTTACTCATTGGCGATAATCCTCACTTCTGCTAGGAATGTACAGATTCCTAAATTAGAGTCTGAAATGTTTGTAAAACAGGAACTGAACTGGATTATGGATATGTTATTACAGCATCCATTTAATGTTATTAAATGACATTATTTTTTTAAAGGAAAAACATTTGCCTTTACAATTGTAATTCTTTACAGTTAAAATTTACTGCACTGCCTCAAAAACTTTGTGGGAAGAGTCAGAGTATAAATAAGCAATGAAATAAAGAAAAGTTAAAGTGTGTCTGAGGTTCAATTTTGTTATAAACAAAACAACTTTCTCTAAAAAGTACAGAATTTCTGTTAAAAAGCAAAGTAGGAGCTATGTGAGATTTCTGGTACAGCTGATTGATTCTAAGTCGCTCACTGCCTCCAGATAACACTGAAGTATTATTTTATCCTGGAGATCACACACAGAGCAGCTCTGTCATGGGAGTGCCAAGAATCGTTCTTAAACATTTCTCTCTGGCGTATGATAAAATCAGTGACCAGCTCCTCTGGAGTGTTGGCACATTGTTAGCATATCTAAATAATTACTAAAATTGAAGATGGAGTTCTAAGATTTTTTCCTACCAAAATACGTTCATCTAAGTGCAGTTGAACCACAAAGTGTTCCTTTCTTTACCAATGTTCTTCCTTGTTTCCTAAATAAGCTGCTCGTACCTTTCCTTTTTACCTCTTCATTGCCAATTTTGCTGCTTGTTTTTTCCTTTTAAATGCTGCAAATAGAGCACTCCAGTTATGCTGAAGTTGTAAGAATCCAAAACATGGCTGTTTGAAGTTAGTCACATGACCCAGAAATTAGATAACTGCTGATGTTTTTACAGCACCGGATTTTATACTGAACAGCCATGTTTTGTTGATCTCTTGTTGGCAAGTCCCATACATGTCCTATTTTGTGTGCCATTCGAGAGCCCTGCAGAACCTTTCAGGACAGCCCTCAAGCGTGACCTTAGAGTCCGTCTTCATCCATCCTGACTCGATCTGCCCCTGACACCTCCATGTAGGAAGCTGGGGGGTGAGGCGCAGGTGTAATACTTTCCTAGTCACTCATGATTCAAGGACATACCACACGTCTTATTTTCAGTCAACTTTTTGTTGAAGTACAACATGTATTTTTTAAATGTACCAAGTGTACTGCTGATCAGATTTTTACAAAGTTAGTCTGTCCATGTAACCGCCACCCAACCAAGAAACAACATCGCCTCCCTTGCCCCCAGGTATCCCTCCTGCCATTCTTCCTCCCCCACAAGAGGAACCCGTGCTGACCTTTGACACCGTAAATGAGTTTGTCTGATTCCGAGCTTTATGGAATGACACCTTCCAGCATGCACTCGCCTGTGTCTGACCTCTCTTGCTGAGTATTCTGTCTGTGAGGTGTATTTATGTTGTAGCCTGTTCGTCCTCGTTCCGTTGAGCAGCTACACCGCAGCCACACTGTTTGCTGGGCCTCCAGCTGTCCGGCATGCCCCGCATGAGGCCTTCATGGGTGATGCTGCCATTGTTAACAGTCCTATGGCACCAACTTTTTCTAAATTGGACTATGAACAAGATTTTTTCATTTGCTTTTTTTTCTTTCTCTGTAGAACACTATTGGAGAATGGCAAACTGTTTTCTGTATCGCTGCTGCTATCGACATATTTGGTGCCATTTTCTTCACGCTATTCGCCAAAGGTGAAGTGCAAACCTGGGCTCTCAGTGATCACCATGGGCACAGAAACTAAAGGAACCCATACACAATCCCGTCTCTATTAATGTATTATATTCATCATGTAACCTAAAAGTGCCTTTGCTCTTTTAATGTGTAAGCATTCTATATACAAGAAAAAAGTGTATTAAATTTTTAAGGCTCGTAGTCATGAAATGTCCCTAATTGCCAGATTAGTAAGATCAGCTGTTTTTAATTATTAATAAATTGTATGCTGGAATTTACACTTTAGGGTCACCTATCTGGCTGCAGTATGAGGCAGGGGAGTTCTCTTTGTTTTTAAGGGCCGCACTTAAAGGTATGAGTTTAACAAGGTATCTGTTAAAACCAGATAATACTTCTCAGGTCTTGGTAATTACCTGGTTTTTGTCCACTTTCCTCATAAGAACTGTCATCAGCAATCCCTTACCCTTAGGTCTCAAACGAGCATCTCCCTGGAGCTGCCCACCCAGAAGGGTTGGCCTGGCCCTGCTCCGAGGGAAGTCTGCCCGGCACGCTTTCCCAGCTTCCATGGCAGTGCACAGCCTCCACCAGAGGCAGCCTCCACGGTCAGGGCCAGCGCCGGGCCTCGTCCCCTGGGGCTGTTAATGTGCAGACGGAGCCCTGAGCAGGCAGGAGTGGTGAACCCCACAACTGTGGTCTTGGCGACTCACCACCTGCCACCAGGAACCTGCAGAAGCGCTGCCAGGAGGCCGCCAGTCAGGGCGTGCAGGATTGAAACCACCTTCCCCCATCACAGTGTGACCTCCCAAGTCCTGTGCTCCATGAGCTACGCCAGAATAAGAATGTTTTAATTCACACTTTTTCCCCATCTGCCTACATGTAAGCTTCTGGTTGCGGTTCAAGGCTAAGGTAACTTTCACTTGATCACATACCTACGACCAGTGGCGTGATCATCTTTACTGCTGGTTCCTGAAATCATATTGTTCCAATTTTTTTCCATCTTCCAGTGGTTTTTGAGAAAGTTTTGAGGACACTTCTGTGATTTAGAACTTGGTTTATGTTTTGTTGTGTTTGTTCAACACTAGCTGTAACATTTTAACTAAAACTCTTTAATGTAACATGATGTGAATACATTTCTGTAAATTTGTTATTAAATTTGTAAATAGCTTTAAGTTGCTATGGTGATATTGCTTTTATAAATCATCAGAATAAACCTTTTTGAATTAGTTTTTGCACCTGACAGTTCTGTGGTGTTTTCTAGTGTCCACAGTGGCTACTGCACATCTCTTTTGCCTTCTTCCTCAGGCCGGCAGCCTACCACTACATGCACCTCTCCCCCCACCAGGACGGGGACACTTCGACTGTCAGAGTGGTGCCCGTCAGAGATCTCATCTGCCATCAGCCTGCGCTTCCCGCTCTCGAGAAGAGTCCACTGTTCCTACTCAAGCACGTACCTGCACCACTGACTGTGCTCTCTGACTGCCTCTAAGATCTTGCTTAGTAATTCCTCTTTAATTTGCTCTTCAATCTCTACCTCTCTTCTTGTTCTTTCCCTTCTGTTCCAAAGATACAAGTCTTCTCTAGCCTTTAAAAAAGAAAAATGCAACCATAAAATTCTTAGAAGGAAACATAGCCAAAAATCTCTTGAATATAAAACATGAGCAACTTTTTCCTGAGTGCATCTCCTCCAGCAAGGGAAACAAAAGCAAAAATGAACAAATGGGACAACATCAAACTAAAAAGCTTCTGAACACCAAAGGACTCCATCAGTAGAACAAAAAGGCATTCTACAGTATGGGAGAGTATATTCATAAATGACAAATCTAATAAGGGGTTAACATCCAAAATACATAGAGAACTCACAGGCCTCAACATCCAAAAAGCAAATAACCCTATTAAAAAATGGGCAGAGGAGCTGAACAGACAATTCTCCAAAGAAGAAACTCAGATGGTCAACAGGCACATGAAAAGATGCTCCACACCGCTAATTATCAGGGAAATGCAAATTAAAACCACAATGAGATATCACCTCACACCAGTTAGGACGGCCACCAAAAGACTAGGAACAACAAATGCTGGCAAGGATGCAGAGAAAGGGGAACCCTCCTACACTGCTGATGGAAATGTAAACTAGTTCAACCATTAATGAAAACAGTATGGAGGTTCCTCAAAAAAATAAAAATAGAAGTGCCATTTGATCCGGGAATTCCACTCCTAGGAAATTACCCAAAGAAAACAAGTTCTCATATTCAAAAAGACATATGCACCCTTATGCTTATTGCAGCACTATTTACAATAGCCAAGATAGGGAAGCAACCTAAGTGTCCATCAGTAGATGAATGGATAAAGAAGATGTGGTACATATACACAATGGAATATTATTCAGCCTTGAGAAAGAAACAAATCCTACCATTTGCAACAACATGGATGGAGCTGGAGGATATTATGCTCAGTGAAATAAGGCAGAGAAAGACAAATATCAAATGATTTTCCTCATTTGTGGAGTATAACCACGAAGCAAAACTGAAGGAACAAGACAGCAGCAGACTCACAAACTCCAAGAAGGGACTGGCGGTTACCAGGGCCAGTGGGGAGGGAGGGAGAAGGGGATTGAGGGGCGTTATGATTAGTACACATTGTGGGGGGGGGATCATGGGGAAGACAGTGTAGCACAGAGAAGTAGTGACTGTGGCATCTTACCACACTGATGGACAGTGACTGCAATGGGGTATGTGGGGGGACTCGATAATATGGGTGAATGTAGTAACCACATTTCCATGTGTAACCTTCATAAGAGTGTACATCAATGATACCTTAATAAAAAATAAAAATACAGAACTTTCCTGGGGACATAAACACACACACACATAAATACAGAACATCTGTACAATCCTCAAGAAACAAAACAGCGGTTACCTCTGGAGAGAAAAAAACAGGCAAGCACGAATAGGAAGAATTTACATCTTCACCAAATGTGAAAATATAACTTCTTCAAACAAAGAGATTGTTTTGCTGAAAAAACAAAAACAAACAAAACACCCGTGGCTCGCACTACTGTGCAATCCCCCCCAACCTTTCACTGCCTGCCGGGCGCGACCGGCTTCTCCTTCGCCCCTGAGACTTGTTCAAACCCAGCCTTGCTCCAGCGCCCGGCCTGCAGCACAGCCGGGCTGTTCCGGCCACTCTATTCCTGTCCGGAGTCTCACCTTCCCAGCCGCCGAGGGTCGGGTTAGACCGCGACTCCTGCTTGATTCTGCCTCCTCCCCAGCACCCTGCCCCACCTCCATCCAGCCCTGGGTGGAATTGACCTCCCGTCCTTTCTCTTCCACTTTCTCAAATCTCTGGAATCTCTCTTTTTTTTAAATCCATCTGTCATCTCCTAAATAAGGTCTTTGTGGCTTTTATTTCCACCTGGAATAGAAAAGGTCAGTCACTGCACTTCCTTCTCTCAGTCTGGTCCTCTCTGTCCAGCTTCCCAGCCGTGCTGCTGAGACAGGGACCATGGGCTTAGACAGAGTAGGGTGAGGGCCCCCAGAAAAAACAAGGCAGGATAACCAGTCACAGCAGAGTAACTACGTGCAAGGACACCCCCCACCAGAACCCCGTGTTAAACATTAAGCTCTAGAGTCCTTCACTGAGATCGGTTAATATTCCCCAGATAAAGGAAAGTAGCCCGTGTTTTTATCATGCTAATCATTTGTGATCATGTGTAAGGTTCACTTTAGCTTGCCAAAAGGCCCCAGCCTGTGTGCTGTTTCTCCTTCAGACCTGATGAGGCGATTTGCAACCCGGGCAATTAATAATGGCAAGCAAGCCCAGCCATAAACAACATAGTAAAAGCAAGAAAGATTCCATCTTAGATTGCCTTTTAAACTCCTTAGCAGACAATAACTCATCCCACCTTGAGGGCAGGGCAGGCGGTCTTAATTGATGGTTGATATGCTCCCAGACCAAGAAGCCGCTATTCTGGGAAAGAAGTTGGCAGTAAATTTCTTATGTTAATTTTGCAGAATTATCTGGAAGACTGATGAGAAAAGAGACTTAATGTCTCCTCCAGGATGAACATTCTAGGACCACTAACAGGTCCACACCCCTAGCCCTTTATCACGTTCCAGGAAAATCCTCAACTCCTATAAAACCGCCAGGCAGAACACGACCCCGGACTCTCTTGTCCCCTCCTGGCCTGAGGCAGGAGCTCTGTCCTCTCACTTTATCTCTAAATAAGAGCCTCTCCCTGGCTCTCCTGCTCTGAGTGTTTGTGAAGTTCATTCTTCAACTCCGTGAACAAGAAACCCAGCATCACTGGGTTACTCGTCCCCGTTCACCCACCTCCCTAATCGGGATGCTCCCCCAGGGCGCACCCGCGGCTTCCCTCACCCAGCAGCCGGTTCCAGTCCCTCTAGGGGCCCAGCTTGCCCACCTGCATCTACCACCACACCTGCGGCTGCTCCCCTTGGCTACCTAACCCTTCCCCCACCTGCTCTCCCTCCTTACCCTGACTAATTCCGGAGCCTGGAAAGCCACCCTTCATCCCCACCCGCCGTGACCCTCGATCTCTTACGCCCTCCTGACCTAGATGTGGTTCTTGCCCTTTGAACCACAGAAACACGGACAGTTTGAGTTTTTTGTTTTAAACTCCAGGACTCAGGCTCAGTTGGGAAGAAGGGACCATTCTTTCATTCAACAAAGAAGATGAACAACCCCACTAGGCAGGAACGTAACGGCTGTGCACATGGCGCAGTCTCCCCCCTCCCTGGAGGCGGCCCTGCGGCCCCGTCAGGCTCCTTGGCCCGTCCCGTCTGGCCTTCTCTGTAATACGGACGAACTTGTGTTCATGTCCACCTCCCTGCTGGAGTTCCAAGAGCACCTTGAGTGCGGGGTCCTTTGAGCCATTCCTCATAACAATATTCACTTTGTCTTAATATTTTAGTTACTTAATAAGTATTTAGCAAACAACCCTTTGGTTACAGACTGTTGAACTTTTTATCTATTTTTTTCGGCATAATGTTTTCTTCTTAAAAAATAGTTACACAAATGTGCTGACACCTCTGTCGGTAAAATTGTAATATTTCCAGAATATCTCGCCTGGTTTTAGCGCATCTGCGTATCAATAGGCATTCCTCAGGGGTGGAGAAAGAATCATCTCCATACGGATGGGTGATTACCTGGGCAACCGAGGGCTTATCTGAACCTGAGAGCTTAGGGGCAGGTCTGATTTACTTCAGCCACAGCAGGAAGGAGACAGCGCCGGACTGTGGTTTGTAAGCAATAAACGGGTTTAAACTTTATTTCTCCCTTTGACTGATTTCGGTTTTAGAGGTATTTCAGCCTGGGATTTCCTCCCCTGGGAGTTACACCTCTTGAAGAAGAAATGATATGCTAACTTCAACTTTTAAGTGGCAGTTACTGGTAAATGGTTTTGAAAATACTTGAGACTAGCTAATTAGTTCTATATTGGCAAAATAGTTCTCTCCGTTATACAATAACTATTGAGCATTCATTATGAGTCAGGCTTGCTTTGCACCCAAGATACGACAGTGACAAAAAGAAAATCCCTTTTCTCGTGGGGCTCACATTTTGATTTATCAAACCTTCTCCTTCCTAAGTCCCAGCCTTTGAAACCTTCTGTATAAAACATCCTGATCAGCGCAGCCATCAAATCCACGGGAATGAGCTGCCCGCCGGCCTTGAGAATCAGCCGGGGAAGAACCCGAGACGGACGCCGAGATCCGCGCTCGGCACTGCGTGGCCCTGCCCCTACTTCAGACTCTGGTTCAAGAAAACAGAAATAGAAATATTTGAATCTAGACCCCGTCTGCAAAACAGATAAGCTAATCTCCAATCGGAGAATGGTTTATCACCTGAAAACAAAATGCCCGAATAGAAAGATACTGAGAATTTAAATTTGAAGGCGGGCAGGGCGCCACACGGCAACGGCCCAGTTCCTCTTAGGGAAAGCACTTCACTGCCTCGGTGAATAGGATAAATTCCCAGTTTCAGTTAAAGAATTATAGAAATGTATGAACTAAGATGGATCACAAAGGCTTTCAGACGCCTCTGCCTTTACAGCGACCATAAGCGGAGAAGTTTGTGCCCTAAGGGGGTGTTAGAGAAAATGCTTCCCATGTGCGCAGAGCGGTACTGAAAACCGGCAAAAAGGAACCCGCGCCCTGCCGCCCTTCCTCCTGCGCCCTGGTGAGGGGGAACGCCAGCAACTTTCCAAGCTCTTTACTTTCACTT